AGAATTAATTTCTATATACATTAATAATAATATTCAGTAGGTAATATAATATCCTAAACAAAAGGCCGTCGTAGTTGGTAACAAAATGAAAATATGAGAAATGTCCAATTTTTTATACTTATATTTACACCTACTACACTTCCGACTTTATCTCATCTTATTTGGGATCCGTCTCCATAGGCTTATTGCCTGGATCAACATTGGGACATATTTATAATTGATAGATTTTTTGATGACGGTTAACCATGTAGGCGAGGTAATTCCACGCTTCCTTTGTTTAAGATTGACGTTTATCACTTTTCTAGTTCTCTCATGACGTGATCGTAAATTTACTAAATACTTAATATATATGTTTACAGCGTAAAAATGATTTCATCTTTATTATTTATAATTCAAGAATAGTTGGACCGATATCTATAATGTCTGATTTGTGGAATTCGTCTCCGCCACGAAAGACAGAACAATTACTAAAATATTGGAAGTATTTTGATATAAATAAAAGTACATACTGAAATTGTAATGTCAATCAAAATAGTGAGGGTAAATTACACCTGTTAATGTCAAATTGTTGATATTAATCGTTCCAGATTATTCCAGATAGCTGGTTAATCAGTCATGTATTTGAAGTCACAAAAGTATTAGATGCATTGTATTTTAGGCGGTACGAAATTCGTCGGGTCGTTTAGTGTAAATTAAATGTTTATTTTTATACTTTTCACATCTAAGGATGAGATATAATACGGTTTTATCATTAAGATTAAGAAGGCGATATGTATGCAGTTATATGGAGATGTATTATTTATTATTTTATAGAAATTATAATGGAATTCTGATAATTTCGTATGATAAACTATAAATAACCACAGTTATCTCAAAATCATACATACTTATTGTACAATTTGAGACACTCCGAATTTCTCTCGCCATGACGGAACCAAACTATATATTTATTTATAATTCTTTATTGCACCAACCTTAAAAGCAGATACATAATCATCATTATTATATAGTATAAAATAAAGTCGCTGTCACTGTCTATCCGTCTCTATGTATGCTTAAATCTTTAAAACTACGCAACGGATTTTGAAGCGGATTCTTTTTTTTTAAATAGATAGAGTGATTTATATATATATAACACATGTACACCCGGGGCGAGTAGCTAGTTAAAAATATAACAATACATTAAAGAAAGAAGAAGGTACTGAAGGCGATCTTATCGCTAACGCAATCTCTTCCAGACAAACTTAGGAAAAAGAGTATTAATAAATTAGGCTATAAAGTTTTTTTTATATTTGATACAATTAATTGAAATAATAAGAGGATTTTATCCAATAAGCCGCAACACTAACTCGGCATTAAGTCGCAGACTTTTGCAATGTACATTAGACCACATTCACAAAATGGCCGACTCAGCTCAATTACAAGGGAAGAGCTAGCTGGGGTCCACTTTTATATCTCTGACAGAATTTAATCAAAAAAGTAAATAAAACAAGTACACGAGATGTAATGAGAATTATAATTAGCTACGAATTTATTATAATTTCGAGTCATTTATTTTTGCATAATATTTTTTGTACTCTACGCCCTTACGACATAGATAGACAGAACAGAGTGCCTGTTAGCTTCTCTCTAGCTTAATCTATATCACAATAAACGTTAACAATTACTATAATCATATTTGATTTAATTCTTTAGTTTTAATGTTTATTTTAATTTTGTATTTTTTTACTTTTATTATTTGCACTTTTGTGACTCACACCATTTCTTGTATCACGCTGTTTTGGGTCGAATGGTAGAGATCTCTTTTAGAGATAAGTATTCCTTTGCTAACGAAATTTATAACATGTATTTGAAATCTTGTATTTAAAAGAGCAATAAAGAATTTTTATACTTTGGGAAGAATAATGCCACTTTTATTACTGGCTTCATATGGAGTTATTAACATATATGACAACCCTCATCTATATATATTTACGAATAGTCAATAATTCTATAATTTTTATCTAATTGGAATAGCAAGCTGACCCTCGCCTGAAGGTAAAGTGTTATCGACGCCTATATACCTGAACAGCATACAGATATCACGTTATCACATGACGCCCGTGATTCATGTGCTGCCACTCTAGAGGAATAAGACGTCATGCTTCTTATTCTGTAATTTCACACTAAAACGTTTCAACCAATACATATCTTGCAAATCAAAGTGCACGTGGGCTGTAATAGACTTCCTCTACTAAAGTCTAGATGTGTGTTTGTAAATCAGTAAAAAATATAAAAGTTACTAAAAATATTAAATATAAAAGTTACTAAAATACCAATAATAATCTAAGTTATAGTTTCAAACAGTTTTCCCCAAAAGAGCCCGTTGGGAATGCTGAGGTTTAGAATTTTCCCGCATATTTAAATCCCAGTTGTCAAAGTTTGCCTTTCCGTTTTGAATATCGTAGTTTCGATTACATTGTATTCCTCTGGTGGGACAAGTATTTCAATAGGTAAAATATATTTGTTTGGAGTCATATGGAATACTGATGTAAACTGTCCAAGTCGGTCAGAGCCATGACATCTTACTCCTCCGAAATAGCTACGCAAGTTACATGAAGACACCATGTTTGTGATGTTGTCTATATAAATAGATAGACAGATAAATTTTTTATTTGTGTTAAAGGGCACACAAGGTACGTCGTCAACGTGCATATGTCACCTTCACCCATAGTGTTTCTAGCTTAGGCATAGGTTACGATAACCGTTTACCATCAGATGGACCGTATACTTGCCCATCACCATCTTAGACCTTTTCCTTTATCAAGTTGTTAATTAATTAATAGCTACTTAATTATAAAACACTAGTGGCTCACCCTGGCTTCGCCCAAATGATGATAACTTTATAATCGAGCTAGTTTTATTATCATAGTACAATTTTTTTTTATTCTAAGATGATGATGCGCAAGTATACGGCACATCACCATCTTAGAATAAAAAAAAAAATAATACTTGCTGAAAGGTATATTATTGCATTGGGACATATATAAATAATATGTTAATATATACGATAATAAAACTAGCTCGATTATAAAGTTATCAGCATTCGGCCAAAGCCAGGGCAAGCCACTAGTGTTTTATAATTAAATAGCTATTAATTAATTAACAACTCGAAAAGGGAAAAGGTTCCTAATTGAATTTTCGTATCTGTACGATAGGCGATAATTTCCTAATTTTGCTCCGATTTTTGTTAATTGTTTATTACATCATGTATTGATTAATTTTGTTGTTGCTCTGATTAGCTACCAATCTTATATATAAAAATGAATTACTGTTCGTTAGTCTCGCTAAAACTCGACAACGACTGAACCGATTTGGTTAATTTTAGTCTTGAAATATTCGTGGAAGACCAGGGAAGGTTTAAACGGTGATAAAAAATTAAGAAAATGCATGTGAAATTGTAAAAACAACAATTTTATTTTCCCATACAAACTGCTAATACCTGTCAGACAGGGTGATTTTGAGGCGGAACGGAGTTTGCGAGATCAGTTAATCATTTATAAACTCATCAATATTATTAGCTTTTTTATAAAGAAAGTGTTTAATAATACATTTGAATATTTTCTGCCAGATTTAGGAGAGATCGTAGGATAGAGTATAATTACAAGATGTGAAAGCGAGTGTTCTTAAACTTTTTGCAAAACGTAATTTGGTCGTGGTTAAAATTCGTAACCCTTACCAGAGGCAATTGTGGTGTTCCACAATAAAAATATCTTTCTTTTCTACCAGTTGAGCAGACATACAGGTCTCTTGCGGTACTCACATGTGAATCAACCACACTCATTATGCTTTCATTGCTGTAATTTTATTACGTGTCCAATCTTGTCGTCGCGGTCTGTAGCGACAAAAACGTTTGTATGTGTCTTTTGATACATCTTATTGGCCTCACGAAATGGCTTATTCAAAACCAGTCGACTGGAATCATAATCAAGCTGCGGAAAAGACGGGTTTGTGTTTGTGTATAACCGTAATGACGTACAGACAAATGATAGAAAGTGGTAACCGTCAGCTGTATCTGACTTTACATAAAATAAATCTTATATATAAAATTCTCGTGTCACAGTTTTCGTTCCCATACTCCTCCGAAACGGCTTGACTGATTCTCATGAAATTTTGTGAGCGTATTGAGTAGGTCTGAGAATCGGCCAACATCTATTTTTCATCCCTCTAAATGTTAGGGGTAGTCCACCCCTAATTTTTTTTTTATTTTAAGGCAAAACAACGTTTGCCGGGACAGCTAGTGTACATATATATTTAGGCAGTGATTTAAATCTCTCTCTCTCTCTCTCTCGCTCTCTCTCTCTCTATATATAGATTTAAATCACTACATACACATAAAATAAATTTTAACGCGAATATACTTTGTGCAAAGTCGTCTGTGTTAGTATATCTATACCATATATTTCTTTCACCAAGGAGCTTCCTTCGTAAGTCCGTACCGGTTTGAATATTGAGATATAGTAATTAAATTACAGGGTGTGAAGCATGACATCTTACTCCTCATGAATGGCAACGCATAAGGGGTACTAAAGGCGATATGTGACAATGTGATATCCATGGTGCTTTGCCTCTTATCAACAAGTGGACAGTCCGCTTGTTTGCCATTCCAATCACAAAAATAACATACGTACATATTTATTATATAGTTTTAAATTTATTTTATTTTATAATACACACAGATACTAATATTCTAAAAGGTAAACTTTGTGAGTTTGGATGTTCCGTGCAATCTCCGGTACTACTAATCTAATTTTGAAAAATATTGAATTGTCTGATAGCCCATTTATTGAGGAAGGTTATAAACTATATGACATCACGCTGCGACCAGTACGAGCGGAGCTGCAGTGAAAAATGTTGCAAAAACGGGGAAAATATGATGTTGACGAAGTGACGTGATGAGCTCTGTAGTAAGAAATAAATAAATATATTATGCCTCTAACACTGTGATATTTTCTCGACAGTGCTTCGACGGGCGTTCAGCATGTTCGACTCGAGCAAACAAGGGCGAATTGAAAAGGAGAAGGTGCGAACCATCCTGAACACCATGGTGCATAGCTTCGACGATCGTGAGCTGGACAACATGCTGGATAACGAAGATGTTGATGGTATGTTACCGCTCACCATCAGAGTTATGGTAGAAATTTTTTTCGATCTTATAACTATATGCTCATGTCTCCATAAGGTAGTAATTTAACGAGTAAATCTCAAACAATTTATCCTGGTTCTCTTGGTGGAAGTGTTTACAACAATTCTTTCTTAAGTACAAGAAGTGTTAACACCTTCGTTTATTCATAATGTTAATGAACGACAGCCTTTTTCAGGCTCAGCTATGTAATTATAATTATATATATGTAATCATATAATTTGTTAATTAAAGAATTTAATATTTATTTAAAATATTATATATAATAATTAACTACAAAAATTAAACAAGCTATTAATCCTGAATTCCTTATTAATTTACCTATCCCTGTATATTTTATCTTCAATATCTATCGAGTACATAAAAATGCGTACAAGTATAGCGACAGTCAACATAAAAATACTATCCAATTACAATTCTCTGCCTAGCCAGTATATTAGAAATTAGGAATGTCTATACAATTATTTAACTCTCTATCTGTAATGTCTAATCAATGATTAGTTAGTTAGTTTACAAAATATTTCATTTTTTGTGAGGTAGAGAGACGTCTTTACCATTTATTTCAATTAAATCTACATTAGAAATGTAACGCTCTAATAAAATAAATTAACCTGAAAATGGTTAGAAACTAACGTTCAAAATAATCACTATTCAGTTCATTTCGTTCATCATGCAATTAAGTTCATTTGAATAAAGATCATTTCTGTTACTGCGTTAAAAATCTCTGGAAATAGTCAAAGAACGGTAGCAGTAGACAGCAATAAAACACGATGAGAGCAAACAAACTCACAAAAATAAACCCGCCTTAATCTCGCTTGTGAAGCGTATTTACTTGGGTTTATGGGCGCGCGACGAAAACAGTTCACTGTGAAATAGTAGGCACTGTGTTATGGTTGTAACTATTTACCTAGCTTCCGTATTACGTAAAGATAACTACTGACGCAGTCATATATGGTTTACATTTATAACTGCGTCAGTATAGTAATACTTTAAGTACATAGTTCTATACAAAAACTGTTTGGTCTGGCTAGACGCTGAGAAAAGACATGACTACTTTTTAATGCAAAAATAGGGTTGTAAGAGGTTGAAAGGGGCGAAAAGAGGTGTATAAAAGTATCGTCATTTTTAAAGCTAGAGGCCTGAAACTTAGTTCCTAATTTATATTCGCTTAACTATGATATGGTATAATGTGGATATAAACATGTCCGCCTAAGTTACCATACGTTCTACGTTATTCCGTCACACTACCGTTGGCACGAGCCATGACTAATTGAGTATTGAGTGTAAGTAACTCTGTCTGTGTCTGTCTGTTCCGCTTTTACCTCAAAACCTAGACCTAAACCTTACCTTAGACCCTGAGAAAAGGCTACTTTTTAATTCAAAAAAAGGGGCCCTTCATCACCTCTTTCAACCCTGTAGGCCCTTCATCACCTCTATCAACCCTTACAGGGTTGAAAGAGGTGATGAAGGGTTGTATGAAAGTACCGTAATTTTTAAAGGTAGAGGTCTGAAACTTAGTTTTTATTTTATTCGTTTAACTATAATATTAGGATATAATATGGATATACACACGTCCGCCCAAGTTTCCATACATTACTATGTATGTGATTCCGTCACACCGCCGCGGCGCCGTTGGCGCGAGTCACTGCAACAGCGGCACTAATTGAGAAGTGTGGTGTCGCTGTCTCGCATCCGTTCCGTATTACGAGCACCTTGTAATTTATATCAGCTTTGGATTGACAGTACTAATTTAAACAGGCGGAATTTTGTAAAAGACTTATAATTAAAATTTTTCACTGATTTTATAACGGTTCTTATTAATATTATAAACGCGAAAGTAACTCTGTCCGTCTGTCGCGCTTTCACGACAAAACAACTCAATCAATTTAAATTAAATTTGTTATAGTCTAGATCCTAAGAAAGGATATATGCTACTTTTTAATGCCAAAAAAGGGGTTGAAATTGAAGACAAAATGTTGTATGGAAGTATCGTCAGTCAATTAGAAGCTGGAAACTTATTTCCTAATTTATAAATAGTTAAGTATAATATAAGGGTATAACTGTAATTTACATCAGCTTTGGATTGACAGTACTTATTTAAAACATAGGCGGAATTTTAGGAACGGCGAGTTAATTTAATTTTTCACTGCCTTTATAACAGTAAATATAATAATATATTTTTTAACTTGAAATCTTGTCCCTACGGAGTCGAAGGAAAGAATTACAATGTAAAATTAATTAAATTTTTGACTGAAATTATAATATATAATGTAAATATAAAATTATGGGAAATTTTCAATGAAAAGTGACAGACTTCCAACGAGTATAACGTACGTGTTGAGAATCATATATCTAGGTATTTAACTAATTAAGTTAGTATGTGTATTTTTTTTATATTATACTTTATGAAAAGAGTTTTAAAAAAAAATCTTGAGCATTTACACTTTCCACTTCAAAATATATATAGAAATACATAATTTAAATATTTTACTTAAAATATAACTTAAGTATTATAGATCATCTTTATTTTTAAAAATTAACACACAATAAATAAAAATTATGCAATTGTTATATTATTATATACATAAAATAATTCAATAAGAACCTTGACCAAAAGGTATTTAAATCTGTATATACAAGATAATCATGAAATAAAAATACAAATATCTGTGTTAAAAAAGAAATAATACTATATCCCAAATTTAAAAAAAATGTATATTATTTTGGAATATCTGGTTATTTACACAGATTCTATAATAATTCTCAGCTAACAAGGAACTTGAAAGTTCTTTGTGGAAAACACTCATGAATTTTTCATACGCAACGCATATAATATGACAGTTGCTGAAACAAATCACTGTGTACTAACAATCTCGCTTCTTTGCATTGAAAGTATACAATATGCCTCGCTGCGTATATTTATGCCCAGATCGTGACACGTGGCGGTTTTATTTTTTCTACTCAATTTTATCAATTTGCAAAACATTTTTATATTCTATTTCATTGTTATTTTATGGCTCTAGAAAATATATATTTTTTATGCTACTTAAGTGGCAAATAACAATACGGCCCATCTGATGGTAAACGGTTACCGTAGCCTAATGACGCCTGAAACATCAGGACTGTAGTACGCGTTACCGACCTTTAAAAAACTTTAATATTCCTCTCCGAAAAACCCCATGGTGTAGTATCTCGAGAAAACCTCGGCAGGTAGTTCATTTCACATTCAGCTCAAGATAACCGTGGGCATCAGGTCCAACAATTCTTCAGAATATAGTCTACTAATCAACACACAAAGCGATGCGAAGTCTCGCCTCGGTTTGATACCGCCCGAGAGATCGGGATTATCTACAATTCTCATAGCACATCTGATCCGAGTTAAATGGACCGAGCTGGTATCCAGGTACCCCTGCCCAAAGATGAGAGCTATAGTAATGTCTAAAAGTAAGAATGGGTGTTGTTGTGGGCAAAGTTAACTCCGGTATTAAAATATAGAATAGGGAATGATATAAAATACAAAATGAAAGGATTATAAGGATATCTAGGAAGAATCTTGTCAGTTCTTCTCATCTCGAAATCATTCCGAATTGACAGTAGATTTGACATATCATAAGAGACTGTAATAGACCTACATGAATAAAGATATTTTGAATTGAATTGATAAATGAACAAATATATCAACAGATATTGCTTAAATATAAATTTTAAGGCACCTTTTTTTTTATTATAACACAGGGGACAAACGAGCATGCGGCTCACCTGATGGTAAGTGATTACCGCCGCCCATGAGCACCCGCAACACCAGGAGAATTGCAAGTACGTTGTCGGCCTTTTAAAAAGGAATAAGCTCTTTTCTTGAAGGTTTCAATATCGTAACGGTTCGCAAATACCATTGTTGGAAGGTGATTCCACAATGACACTTCTTCTCTTATATCAAGTCAAGAGTTCTAGTGTATTCATCAAATAAGAACTAGCCGCGAATTGTTAATTATGATTTAACTCCGGAATATTCACGCCGTCTATTCTAGAAATTATTTTATTGTTTGAAAGCTACATTATTCTAGATTGACGTAGTTGTCATACTGTGCAAATATATAGAAACGTTACTAACATATAAATTATAATAATATAAAGTAAAGCGGTGTTCTAAACCACTAGACTACCGAGATTTTTATAGCTATTTCATTATATTCAGTACATATAATATTTTAAGCTCGACTTCTTTATTGTCATAACTGTTCATAAAAATACAAGAGGTCAGAGTTCATTTCTCATACTAGAGTTTTTGTCCATTAAAATTATATATTTCCACAATTGCCTTTATAAATATGCTCGTAAAACCTTGCCCGGGGTTCTGACCTCACGCCCTCCTATTATCAGGGCACTAAAAATGATGGATCCTTATTCTAGCGGTCGTAAACTAGACAGCGCTCAAGATATTCTAACAATGGGATAATTAGTAAGATATGATTAGAAATACCATTACAACTGACTCCAAGAACAATTAGGAAAGTAATAACAAACTATTACAGACTAGCGACTTGCCACGGCTTTACACTCGTTCAATTATCACGAAGTAGTCAGTGTAAGTCAGTGTAAGGCTCTCTTGAACTCTTATTAAATAAAATATAGCTCATGATATCAGCTATCTATATGTGAAAGTTTCATCAAAAACTATACAGCATTTTTAATTTTTTTTTTAATTTTTAATTTCTTTAAATTGTATCTTCTTTACATAGTATAAAACAAAGTCGCTGCCGTTGTCTGTCCGTCCCTATGTATGCTCAAATCTTTAAAACTACGCAACGGATTTTGAAGCGGTTTTTTTAATAGATAAAGTGATTCAAGATGATTGTTTAAATGCATATAGTACAGAAAATCTCTTAGCAACTGGAACTAAATCTCCAAAGAATGTAATTCTAGAAACATCTACAAGTTTCTAGATGTTTTGCGAATGTAAATTCGCTGCCGGTTGCACAAGTCGCGCTGTAACTGTTATTAAAGTTATGTAACTCATTAAGACGAGGAATCAGGCAATCAAAAAGTTTAGGCTTTGTTGCCAAAGTATATTTAAGTAAGGGATATGGAGCTGTCGGGTCTTACGCACAAAGTTTAATTTTAAACGCAGATATCCGTAATTGTATTTCTGTTTTAGTACATCGTCTCAAAAGTTCTAAGTAAATTGATTGTTCAGAATATTGTAAGGCCAAATATATACTTCTTGATTTAACATGTCTACATACGATACGATTTAACAATTTGAATTAGTCAATATTAGTAAATTTTTTTCATAAGTCTAACTAAAGTTTTATTTCCTCAACTCAACGCATCAATGTGCAAAATCTAAATATATAAAATTTAACGATGAACCAGAACTTATATAAATTATCTAAATTAATATTATATATTTGAAAGAATTAATATATATTTTTTTTGTAATGAACGAACTCGAAGTATGAGTATAAAGATGTGGGTTTTTATATAGAGTTCTATAAATTTTTGTTAATTTATAGATTAATTTACAGAACTAAATTTCATATAGTTAACACCTAATTTATTTCTCTACCCGTGAGAAGCCGGAGCTAGTCGTTAGTATCAAATCATACAAATTTTATGAACGTGAAAGTTTGTGGGTATTGATGGATGATTATTACTTCTTTACGCAAAAATGAGTGAACGAATTTTGATGTAACTTTACAATAATGTAATACTTACACATCACAATAACACATATAATTCAAAAAGATATTATGTAAATTGGGCGAAATATACTGATAAATATCAAGCATAATGCAGAAATTGCGCGGGTCAGCTAGTGGATCAGTATATGTAGAACGTAGGTCATTTCCAACAGTATCTTAAAATAGGCTTTGCAGTAGCATTACTCCTATACTGTTAAGTTTATTTGGACGGGGATCTTCTCTAATGTATGTAACCAACGATAAATGGGGTTTACGCCAGTTTACGAGGCAGATAAAGGCACCGCCTTAGGGTCGCCCTCAGGATTAACTGCATCTTAAACGCTGATTTCGCGCACTGTCCGTAATTTTATTGCTAAAGTACTGTCAGCAGAATGCGATTATTCTGTTGTCGCCAAGAAAAGAAAATTAAATTCAAATAGTACGGAAAAAAGAGTTTGGCAGATGATACGTGTTAATAAAGTGTGGTATATCTGTAGGGATAAAGTTTTAGATTTATTCTCATGATTTTTAAGGTCTGTAGACCTGAAATGGCTACTAAACTACTAGCATCATTAGACCCTGAAGATCTTTCACCATAGGTAGTCTGTAAAAAATGCGTAATTATCTAAGATTCTCCTAATTCAATCGCTAGGTATCTTGCTTCCTAAACTGTGTTTCGGCTATAGGGTCAGATTAGACAGTGATATTACAGGATAAGAGGCATGACATGTTAACCCTCTGGAATGATATAACAGATATTACTTGATGTCTGTAGTGCTGATAGAAGTATGCTATATTTATAGGTGGTCCAGACAAAAAATACCTTATATTTTTATCTGAATTTACACAGACAACACGACGGAACAAAGCTTGTAAGAAATAAAATATAAATGCATTACAATTCAACACATTCCGATATTGTATTCCGTTCAGTTGGCGAGAATTTCCATTGCACAAATTACTCGCGTATTGACAAGCAAACAGCAATATGTATGTATTTTATGGTGATTTTAGCTTTATTTCTGGAGCACTCTCAACTTGCTGATATGTTGAGGAGTATTGCGTCTCAGCAGAATAGTTAGTTAGATGTTTTTTTGTATCGTAATGGAATCGTACTTGAATTTGTGCTATCCGTATTAATGATGGTATCAGTGGATGATGTCTATCATTTAGTCAGATCAGTTAGTCCATTCTGGTAATTCACCATAAATTAATCCAGATAACTTTTAAGAAGGAACACGTTTATGTAATTAGATGCCATTATACATTGTCTGCCATGGGACCACTATTCCTATCAATAATCCACAAAATTTATACAGTAGTCGATCTATCTATTTCTCTATCTCTTTCTTTTATACTTCAACTAGTTATCTAAAAGGGCGTGGATATATGATACCACATAAAGCAACTAGTCGTGCTGTACAATGTATTTAGACGATGGTTGCAACTTACCGTTAGTGTCTTTGTCAATTACTTCAAGAAAGGTATATCCTTAATATATAATGGAAATGGACACGTGACATCCCTGTTATTTCAGGCGTCCAGCGACTATGGTAACCGTTTACCATCAGATGGGTCGTAGGTCTGATTAACACCATTGTGGTAAAAAGTAACTTATAAATACTACCGTTTATATGAGATGATGAATAAATTTGTAATTCCAGGTAGCGGAAAGCTGAATTTCGATTCTTTTGTTCGTGTTGCTACACACTTTTTGGATGAAGATGATGAAGCATTACAGAAAGAACTGAAAGAAGCGTTCAGGCTGTATGATAAAGAAGGTATGTTTGTATATGTTTCTATAATTAAAACAATACAGTTTCTTATTAAATATTTTAATCGAGTTTAGACAATCGAATCTCTATCTGGGGGTAGCGACTATTGGGGTATATCGGTTCAGAAATTCTGTTAGATTTGAAGTATTAAAAGTGTTGATTATAAACCTACATGAATAAAAACTCGATTTAATAAAATATATGGTTACTTTAATGCTATAATTAAAGTTTAATTCTAATGGGAACTACATTGTTTACTTAATACTAACTGTTCTCCGTCGTTTAGTCCATTTTACAGTAAATGGGCTATCCAACACTAATTCTCAAAATCATTTCAGTAATACCGGTCGGATTACTCCGAACTATTTAGACTAAGAATAAGAATAACTTATTTCAATAAAAATTAATAATTATAGTTCAATAAATATAATTAATAGTTGTATGCGATTAAATAAATTGTTAACTATTGAAAATAAAATATTTTTGAGGGTAACTGCATACCCTCAAAAAGATTTTATTTATAACTATATGATTTATTTTTGTCGTACGTTTGATGGGCGTTAATAAGAGACATCTACAATTATACACGCACTACTAATTAGAATATATAACTGAATAAATTTATTCATAAATAAAACGGCTGACATAATGTACCATTTTCTCCCGTAAAACCTTATCCGGCTAACTCATATATAACATTTATACACGCATTTCAGGCATTCGTTGTAAACATGTATGTAATAACTGAGAAGAATTATTACAGTTTGCGATTTACTTTTTTATGTAAACGGAATGGGAAAGACGCAGACGGTCCACCTGATGGTAAGTGGTAACCATTGTATATACATACATGAACAGCTCTACGAACATTACATTATCATGTGACGGCCATAACCTTGTATCCAGTAATTTTACTACGTTATCTCACTTCAACAGAAATATACCTTACAGAGCAAGCTTTTCTGCGATATATATAGATCTTGCAAAAAAGCTTGCTTTGTTATCACTAGGATTATTAGATCCTGAAGCTCTTTTATCAGAGATAAACTGTAAAATGTTAAATGCGACGGTACTTCAATCTCACCATATCTGCCGCTTTGTAAGCTGTGAATCAATTGTAGAGTGCAGATTAGGCAGTGAAATTACAGATAAGAGACTTAACATCTTAGTCCTCCGAAACAGCAGCGCAGGAGTGGTGTTATAGTTGTCACATGATAATGTCCGTTGTGCTATGTATATAGATGACAGTCACTATTTACGACCAGATGTAGCTTGTTTACCACACCGATTACATCAAAAATATATAAACGCACAGACAAAACCTTCTACTCAATAATACCAAAGTCGCGAGCAAGAGCGTGATCATATTATACGAAACAATCTTATTTACTGTTTGCGAATACGAGTCTGTATGTCTACATGCGTGTTTTCAATAGAGAGGCAGTAAAACAATAACTCGAGCGGTAATTGTTTCCAATAAAAGCAATTCCATATATTGGACTTAAGCCAGTGCCCCTACTTTTGTTTACCAGAATGAAGGAGAGAATAATAAGTAGATACAATTGAAGGTTTTGTTCCTTAAACGACGTACTTAAATTTGGATACTACAATAATAATAATAATATACATCTTTAATAATAGGAATGTAAGAGAAAAACATATTACGCTGACCCTAAATAAATGGGATAAGGAAGAAGCAGATGACGATACGGCTTTAGTAATAATAATAATATATGGGACACCAAAGCAGTTTTTTTATTGGATAATGATGAAATGGCTGGCGGGGCTCCAGAGAAAATTGATTAGTATAATGATAGTATTAAGGCAGTTTGTTCATTCAGACTATTTCTCCAGGAATTTACCAGTATGGTTTCCAGGAGGAGAAATGTGATGCGTGATGAACTGAATATGGTACATTGCTAACAATAGAGAGTAGGCCACATTACTAACAATCTTCTCTCTCCCTGAAGGTGGAGGTGGGTTAGAGGCATTCTCACGTGTCAACGTTTTGGAAAACGCTTGTTATGTCCACATTTCGCAGAGAATTTAATTTGAATCCAATGTAAGGAACGGACCTACCACCGTCTCTCATATTAATTTATAATAACAATAATACCCCACAACAATTCAAGTAAATCTAGTCTCAATGTAAGCAGAGCTTGTGTTATAGATATATACTAGATAGCTAATATAAATACTTATCTCTTTTTTTTTTTAAATATATGCTTAATGTACATAGAAACCATCCAGAACGATAGAAATCGAAGAGGAATCGAACCCGCGATCATCGAAAGCGAAGCAGTATGCTAAACCACCGAGGTCGATTTTTTTTTCTATACAGCCTTTTAGATATATAAAGTTTAGCACTTTACAACACAAAGTTATTTCTTATATGCGAAATTACAACTTATGACCTTTAAGTTAAGATTGTAACTAGGTCCCGCTGCTCTCAATTTGGCTGAAACAATTTATTTGTTTGTTTACTAACGACTCGCCTTCGCACAGGTAGGTTCAAAGAATAATGACGTTTATAGGCAAATTTCTTATATCTACCGTTACAATATTACGAATATTGTATAGATCTCTATTGTTTTCATAAAATTGCCCATATTATGCTCTGTAGTGTAGCACATTTATGATATCTGGTTTTACAGTAATGTGCATATAAGTATGTATATATACCTATGTATTTGTATGTATAAGTAAATCAGACCATTTACTGATTTACTTACAAACTCCCAAACAGTATTGCCATTTTATGTAGGTATCATATTTCTTTATTGAATTAGTGAAATAAAAAATAGTCACATCAATTTCTAAAATCAGTTCAGAATTGTTTGAGATTAAAGATTATCTATTATAATCTAAACTTCAAATCTTTCATCTTTATAATATTATCTCAGTTTATATTGCATCTAAAGTGCAGAGGGAACATAATTTACAAAGTAATAAGGTGCAGACGGCGATTTCCTCGCATAAGCAATTTCTCCCAGACCTCCACTTGAGTTATTACGAACATGCAAATATTAGACTCTTCAAAAATAATAGTGAGTCGAATGAAACCACAGAGTATTGCCAGTATGGTCGGCCTCAATGGTCTAGTAGTTTGGCACACCACGTTACTTTCGATGGTCACAGGTTCGATTCCTGGTACTGGCACGGTACAAAACTTATGTTTTCAAGTGTATGATTGTTTGTATCAGTCTGGGTGTTTTCTATGTACATTGTGTATGTATTTACAAACAAAAATATCTCTGTAAAAATACCTATAGGTTATCATTTATATTTTAAAAAATATCTATTATATATTAAATAAAATCAAATAAATCTATATTTTTTCTTAAGTTTAAAAGCGTCTCTATCTGTCTGTTATTTTTTCATGAAAATATCACTTCACATTTTGATCGAGGATTGTATAACGAATACAATCCTTCGTCCTTACAATATAACAAATAGGTTTCTATTTAAAAAAATACAAACAATGTCGCGGGTAGTATGTAGTTAATTTGTATACGAAGACATTAAAATCATTAACGACACTAATAACACATGTCCACGCATTAGTCTCGGATCAATACTTCCGTTGGCATAGCTTGTCTTTCCACTTTGTTGCCCAAACAGTAGTCAAATAACTTAAACACTGTCGCCTTACTGATTTAATTTGGGACTTGGCGTTAAGATCTATATATCTATCTGATATATTAACCTACTATATTAGGCGGGGAGGGGTTTGTTACTAATGGAATCTAGTTAGGGTTAGCGATGTACATTTTTTTTAATGGTTGACGATGGCATCATGGAAGGGGAAAGGGAATTGTTAGTAATGTGTAAATTGATGGTCTTATTGCTAGCAATGTACCATGTCAGGTTGACCTTCACGTGGTTCCCCTGGAAACCATTGTGATAAATTCTTGGTGAATTTGTCACGATGGGCTAACTGACCTGGGGGCGTATTATGAACTCTTTAAAATCCAGTCAGTTTCCAGGCAGTTCAGTTTACGGCCTTAAACTGAATTGTTCTTTTTCGTATTATGAGGGTCCAAATTCAAACCGTATTCTGCCTGAATAGTTTGTCTCTGGCTGGTTAGTGGATTTTCTCGCGCTGCGTTCGGATACGCATACATTCGTTGCAACGTTAAGTCGAGTTTTTGTATGTCACTTTTTGGACAAAATATTAATTAAATAAATGTAAATTAAATATAGAAAACAGTAATTAAGATACAACGGTAGAATTTGTGTAATATACAAAAATATTCTAGACAGTTTTATGGTCTTTTTTAATAATTCGGATTTATTTGTAAAAAATATTTTCATTGTAATATCCAAACGAACTTTGTGCATCTACTTAAAATTCCGCGCAAAGTACTTAATTCCGATTTTAATGTACAACTTGAAACTTAGCCTTTCCATAACTTTATACGCAAGTTAAATTTAATAATTCAATTATTGTGAAAAATATACCTAATGTAACGTAAGTATTCCTAACATTTTCTTAGTAATGTTTTTTTAAAATGATGCAAATATTTAACTCTTTATATTTGTATATTTATCTAACTAAATTGTAGATCACGGACTGAAACCTCTCGCCAACGTCGTGTATCGTACTGGTAATTTGAAATTATATGGGATTTTTAAAATCCCATAGGGAAATGGCAAGTGGCTTTAATAAGTCCGCCCAAGAATACCATACCAATCGCTTGTGTGAGGACGTCGCTCAACAATTAAACTCCTTAGGAAAAGGGGGTTTTAAAGACTGGAAAGGAATGTCAAGTTTAAGTGTTATAAGGTAACCATCTGAATTTTAATTTATTTCATTTAATAGGAATCTCAGTAAAATCTGAAATACATGTATCTATGCAAATAAATTGAAGTATCTGTTTGTTATTTTGAAGTTCACCATACAACAGCTTTTCAGTAAATGCATACATATAGAAGGTAAGATAAATGACATTAAAAAAAAAATAGTTGTCTGTCCGTTTGTTTGTTCTTACTAATCTTTGAAACAGCTGGACCAAATTTGAGGGATACTTTCACTGTCATATGTAATGAGTTGTGTAAAGGAGTAACTTAAGTTGCTTTTATTTGAGATATTTTATTTATTTTAACAAAAATTAGGTATGCCATATGGACAAAGTCATAGGTAATAACTAGTATATAATACAATTATCATATCCCTTTAATTATAACTACCAATAAAAGACATAAATAATGTACCTATATCATTTATTATAAAAACAAATAATTAAAACATTGACCTATTAACAATATTATTATTTATAAATGTTTCAATTTCTTAGTTCCACAACTAAACAACATGGGTTTGTCTAGCAGCTAGACCTTCATTTAGTTCTCTATAAGAGCTCAAAGTACATGTAGGCATCTAAATCTAGAAGCCCAATTGTGCTCTCAATGATATTCCATGTTCTTACAGTGTAATATGCTTCTTGTGGTCCTGATATAACATTTGAGATGGGACTATACTTCTCCAAAGAATATCCTGGATCTCCTAAAAAAAAACAACATATTATATACTATAATATTAATATTTATTTACAAAAAGTATTATTTCATTAAAAACACAGCACAATAACTGTTGGTGCTGATAAATAACTATGTTTCTAAATTACTGAAGTTTAGAGCTTAGATGTAATGATGTTTGAAGTTTCATAATAAAATTTTGTGGTTACCAAGTAATCATAAGGATTTATTCCAGCTTAAGTCCTCTAGATGTTGCTTAATGCCTCTGGTTTGCCCAAATGTCATGAGTAGCTCCAGTTCCAGTTGGCATCCACACTTATAATCTCCATGTCAGCATTACTAACCTAAATTTTTTTTCCAGATTAATTACATAGATGAAGATTATTTGAAACATAAGAGAATAATTAATGGATAAATATTATTTGAAACATATGAGATTAATTACATGGATACAGATTATTTGAAACATATGTCTAAGTGTTATGGTCATTTTATATTTAAGTAAACAATTTATTGTTAGTAGGTATATAAGTAGCTTTAGAGATGTATAATTATTAACATATTTTGTATGTCTAAAATCTTGTTTATTGTTAATTTATATAATTATATTAAAAAAGATATTAAAAGTGCTTATATTATTAAACATGTCTTTTAATTTATATTTCACTTACCAATTATATATTTAATGAATGGTATTGTTTTCTACAGTAATATCTCTTCTTAATTTACAATGGGGTGGCATGTGTACAGTCAAATACAGCCCAATACACCCAGCATTCCAAATTCCAATTATAAAACCTAAAATATAATTAATTTAATTTAATTAATTGTCCTCGGAGGAAAGTGCCGGAGAGACTGCACATCGTCAGACTGTTGCATACTTGTATAGTTGCTTTCTAGGCTTTACTTGTGTGCATACATTTTAACATATATATTATCACTATATCATATGGTATGGTACATGGCACTCATAGATGTATTTGCAACAATAACAGTTGCTAATTGTATAGAAATAGATACCTTTGATGTTTATTATCTATCCTTTACTCAGATGTCCTTGGAATTTTATATATGTATTTACTTTTGGATGTTGGGTAAATGCAATAAATCGGTTATTTGCCATTGGCTGTGCTAGCGAATAAAGAGCAATATCACTAGTAGGCCGTTGATACGAGCCTGCAGCATAAATAATAATGCTACTAAAACCTGACATAGTCAGCTAGTGATTTAGTGAAATAATTACAATACAATATACCTTAGTTTCCACTGGTAGGTCTGTAAATTTCGATGATACCGGTATATGAGTTCGCACGCATATTACGCACCAAATCTTTATTTAGATTATAATGTTTTCTAAATTGTTCATTGTCTATATCAATTGGATTGGATTGGTCGCGTAATCGCCGTCTTTTCACTTTCCTTACTTCTTTTTCGTAGGGTGCACACATTTCCAAAAACTCCAATACTTCGAGTTCATCACACATAATTAAAATTAAAACGAAACAAAAACAATCGAAATAACTGCACAAACATGTTATAAACATAATAAAAACTGACATAGAAATAGAAATAATAACCAAATTACAATAATGAAGCTATAAATTAGAAAACAATTCTATAAAAGCTAATATGAAGCCACCGTAAACTAAATTGTTTTTAAACGGGCTTTTTGACAGTTGAGTCCGCTTAGATCTGTCAAATGAAACGCTCATAATACGAAATAGCCGGTCAGTTTTCGGGCAGAAGACGTTCAGCTGTCACGTGACCGCTGACTGGCTGGCTAATAGCGTTCGTAATACGAAATCGCCAGGCAGTTCAGTTTAAGCCGTAAACTGAATGGGAATAAGAGTTCATAATACGCCCGCTGACTTCATGCTCATCTTATCATCTTCCACTTGTGCCTCGCCAGAGTAAACCGTTAGCATAGGCGGGTGCACCATTCCATTATCGTCCATAAAAAAAAATAAGGCATGACAACATCATCAGAAGGAACCGCGTAATAGACCTTCATTACTGACCTTTATATATAGTCAGTTCAGAGTGAAACTAACAAACTAAGAAGAACTGACAAGAAACTCAGGTATTATTCTTTTCAAATGAGCTAGTATATGATTACAAAAATACAGATTCCGCCAGAATATACTATTGCATTTTTCTCAAATGGAAAGTAATCTATTTAGTTCGTAACAATTGCTGTTACGAACAGACTAGACTCCACAAGCAGCAAAAGTACTCGTGAACGGGTTTCACGAGTATGACGGATGAGCTAGCCTTTATTCAATCAATCATCAATATAACCTGCATAATTTTTCGTTGATCTTTCAGGCAACGGGTACATCCCCACATCGAGTCTACGCGAGATATTAGCAGCGTTAGATGACCAACTCACGCCTGATCAGCTGAACGAAATGATAGCTGAGATTGATACTGATGACTCTGGAACAGTCGACTTTGATGGTAAAAATTCATCCTATTATATCTTAATTTTTTTGTGCTCAGTATTTAAATGCAATCTCATCATTCAAACTGAATATGCATACATTTGAACTGAAAGAGGCAGATGTCGGGCACAAAGTACGATGCGGGAATCAAATGCGTGACCTTTATAAAAGAAGGCATCGACTTATTATCTTACCTATGTATTTTATCCATCATTTATCAGAACATACACTTACACCGTATATTTATATATACCATGAGTACCAATAGAGCACGATCACGTTGGTAACAATACACAATTATAAATTTTAAATTAATGAGTAAAAGGTTCCACTGAAAACCAACATTTGGCATTACAACCTACACACAAAGCTGAGTGGAAACCAATTCGCTCGATGTTGTATATTTTAAATGTTCGTAATATTATGCACGTTATTTACTTGTTATATATTTGATATGAAAGTTTTGTATCAGCCAAATTAATTTCTTTTCTTTTCTTCTTTACTAAGTATATGAAGAAAATGGGTTTAATATAAGAAAATGTAATATTAAAGAGATATTAACTTCACCTGTTTGCTGAAATTTAACTCCTAGAACTATTGAAGAGAAAGCTTTTATGAGAGTTTAAACTTCCCGTTGTAGAGTTGAGAGGAAAATCAATACACAAACAAGTTTTGAAACGATATTGAGATTTGACATTTATATTAATATTTTTACGAGTATAAAACTTGGAAGAAAATTTTTCATGTAATTGGACTTGAGAAACAAGCTGACTACCCATCTGATTGTAATCGGTTATTGTCACACATATACATGAATAGCAATACTAATATTACATTATCAAGTGAAAACAGTGATACCACTTATTCGTTGCCATTCCAGAGGACGGAAGGAAGATATCATGTCTCTTATCCTGTAATTTCACTGCCTAATCTGCACTTTACCAGTGGAACACAGATTACAAAGCAAGCTGCTTGGCGGTTAAAATAGGTGAGACTGTAAAAAGTCACATGCTTGGGATATGACTTTTTAGAGTCTACTTCTGATGAATGAGCTTCAGGGTCTAGTGGTTCTAGTGGTTCAGTATATCAACTTTAGACTTTTTAGTTAACATTTACAGAGGTAAAGTTTCTGTAATGAATTTTTTTTTATGTAATAAGAAATACTAGCCCACCTGATAGCAAGTGATAAACGTCATACATTAACAGCACCGCAGACATCACGTTATTATGTGATGCCATTGGTAACCTTATGATTTGCCATTCCGGAAGAGTAACGTATGCCACCTTACCCTGAAATTTAACTGCCATAACGTGATACCACTCCTGAACTTTGTCAATAAAATTTGCAAATAACGTCCTGGCAAGAAGAACACGAGTAGAAAACTTAATTAATCTTATACATAACTGTAGGCTAGTCAAAGCCACATTCAATTATACTATTTTCAGAAATATATAATAGAAGTTCTGATTACCTCATCAAGGCTTAAATGTCGTAAGAATAACATCAAATTTACTTTGCTATTTAAAAGTTAATATTAACATCTGTTAAATAAATGATCTTTCTGTTTACAGAGTTCATGGAAATGATGACGGGTGATTAGACGGCCGACCGCTGGAATGATAAACGACCCTTTGAAACTCTAGTCCTTATAATAAACAGCTACTTATTGTAAGAAAATTTTACTCATTTTTCAGACTTTAAAACATCCAGTTTACGATATCTCTGATTACCATCTAAGGGGCAGGAATGAGTTTTAAATAGGAACTAATGATCACATTTCTAGCAATATATCTTATATTATCTAGGTTGATTTCTATGTTGTTGTTGAAACCGTGACAATTTATTATTAACTATTACGATTTTGCATGTACACCCATAGATTATACATATAAACCTTCCTCTTGAATCACTCTATCTATTGTTAAAAAGTACATTAAAATCCGTTGAATAGTTTAAAAAATCTAAGCAAACAGACAGTCTTGCGACTTCGTTTTATACTATATGGATAAACATGGGCTAATTGACCTTATCTCGTCCCATCATCTTCCATTGATGCCCTGGTAGCGTATATTAGTACAGGCACCATTCAATATTCATTTATTAATTTAAAATAAACTGTAAGACCGTACTACTGACGCTGTCTCTTTGAAAATCATCGTGATCTATTCTCATGCCTTCTTTAAATCAATTAGCTTGTCAGTTTTTTATTTATTTTTCTATTCAATATTCAATCATTAATTTTAAAAAACCTGATAAAATAGCATTACTGATGCTGTCTCTTTTAAAATCATCGTGGTCAATTCTCATATAGGTTGCCACTACTAATCATTATTATATTTTATAATTAAAAAGTACATATAACCCATATGTATTTTTTATTATAAAAAAATGTAGGACAAAATGTTAGGGGTGGACAACCCTAATCTCTTAGGAGTATGAAAAATAAATACTAGCCGATTCTTGGACCTACTGAACACGCATATAAAATTTCGTAAAGAGATTTTTACGAAAGATTTTTATGGTATATCAGTATTTTTTTATTTTCTTATTCAATATTCATTAACAAATTTAATAAATCTGATAAAGTTATATTACTTACTGTTCACTTTAACGTCATCATGATAAATTGCCACTTTTTAGGTTTTTTTTTCGGACTACTCTAATGCTGTTGGTCGCAGCTGGCCTTTACAGCTTCACCGGACGTTAGGGGGCGAGCGCAGATGGCACTCCAAGCCCGCGGAAGGACTTATGGAGCGGCTGAAGGCCAACTACTGCCTGACGGATACGACTTTAGTCTGAGGGCACCACTAGGGTTTCGAACCTCGGCTCAGGCCGTCGTAATATCGATCCCCGTTTGAATTGGACGGGGGATCGATCGGAGGGGAATTTTTTAGGTGTCCACCTGATAAGTGGCATAGTGGATAAAGTGTCAGTTTATTTGCTATTTTGATTTTATGAAAGAACTGTATCGCATAGCTTATACGTAATTCAGTTATTTTTTATTTTCTTATTAAATATTAACTCATTAATTAAAAAAAAACGCTGATATCATTATATTAAACGTACTAACTTATTATATATTATATATAGTCAATTTTTAGTTTTACTTTTTTAGTAGTAGTTTAGAACTTAAGTGCGATCATCGTCGATGATATTTTATTGTATTAATTTACTAATAAAGGCTACAACAGAATAGCAGTGAGGGTGGACTCACTGCCCCCTGAGTTAGAGACCGTTTTGTCTGGTTCATTACTTTTAAATCTTATTACTATATGTATAAGCAGCAATTGTATTAGTTTTTATTCCTACAAATGAAGATGATTATTATTATTATTTTATATAGGTCTTTCAGTTTATTTGATATTATGATTACACAAAAGGGAAAAGAAACGAAGCTCTGAACTGCGCATAAGCTCTTAATTATCACAAAACGTTCTCGCATTACGGCCGCGCCTCACAAACGAATGCAAAGTAGCTACTTTAGTAGATTTCTGTGCAGGAAGCACGTGTGTACATACAAGGCGAGGTTTAGGTACACACGAATAGCGGAACATACATACATAATAATATTAATTTCATTATTAAATGTCTTAAAATAATAATAGTAATCCAGGACATTACGATATCTAGTCCCAAACTAAGTAGAGTTTCTGTTAATTTATTTAGTACCTAAATACTTTCAGGTACTAAATAAATTAACACGAATACATACATAACTACATTTTTTATAAATATTTATGATTATATATAGGTAACATAATATAGTGCTCGCAGTGGGCTGGTGGTTTAGCCCAGCGCTTTACTTCCGATGGTCGTGGAATCGATACCTCGCACTATGATTATTTGTCTGGATGTTTTTTATGTAAGTATATTATACGTATGTATATTTACAAAAAATGTATCTAACTGTATGTATCAGTGGTCTAGTACCTATAAGCTCTGCTCAGCTTGGGACTATTTTTGTTTATTTAATTACGTTTTTCTGTTAAATAAGCAATTTCATTGTAATCAAGTATTCGGTAACTTCTCCTATTACACCACAAAAGCTACAAATCTGGCCTTTGCTATCCGCTTATCTATGTCCATGTGGTAGCAACTTAACTCTCTGCATACAGTACAATACCTGAGGCTCATGGTTTCACGAAAATGAATCTCACAGAGAGTTTTAAAGACGAACAAAGAATGTTCTCACTTTGATCTGATCTTAGAATGCGCGCGAAAAAGGTTTTTATACTGTTTAGTAGTACTCTTGCATTGAATAGACATCTGGACCAATCTGTGTATATTCATCTGAGGTCGTTTAAAGGGATTAGATAAAGAGATTTAAGTGCCATTAGTTTGGGGCTGAATTATTAGTTCGAAATTTTTAACACTGCTCGCTGTTCTTATTTGATTTGTGAGATTCACCTCCCCTATTATGACATCATATTTTTTTAATACGAACTATTATCGTTAATTTTTGAAATTTCGTGTTTCTATAAAAATCCTAAACTTATCTAAAGATCATGCAATAAAAAAATTACGAACAAATATACGGATTAGCTAAAAATGGCAATGTGTTTAATTTATATGCAATCGAAGTGGCAGAATGTTTACCAGAGAATTCTCTTTACAATCTTATAAAAGAATTTGGCCTGTCTAGAGCTGCAGTAAGTTCTAAATTAGAATGTGTATGTAAAACTGCACTAGCAGGCTACCACAAGATTTGGTTAGGCAAGGAGAGAAACACGAGCGGTGAAGGTGAGTGTTGATGTATTGATTAAATCTACACCCGGGTCACAAGTCCCGGGAACTGTTCGGAGTTTCCCTGGAATGCTAAGAAGTTCATCTCATATATTAAATTTTTAAATGTGACATTACAAAATTTAAGACCTTAGTAAAAAAAAAAAAATATTAATTGTTCCTTCTATCTTTATACACAAGCTCGTGGTACAATTACGTTTTCACGTTAATACCTGATCTATAATCGATCTCGTTAATCTATAATACATAAATATAATGAATAACTAGTGTTTCTACACGCAAGTCTCGAAAACGGTTGTTCTAATTTTAAACAGTTTTCGAAGATATAGGTAAGATACAGGAAGATATATATGTTATGAAGAAGAACAATAGTCCAAGATGTAATTTCCCGGTTCTTTTTTCATATAAACTGTTTCAGGATGTTTGTTTGTTTGAAAATTATGAATTTCAACTGATCATAGAAGAATGGGGTTGAATGGGTTAGAACAGGATATAATGGTAGATAGTAGTAATGGATGAGAAATTACACAAAAGGACTAAAAGACAGGACTATTACAAGGTCCACTAGAATCCCGAGGAAAAGACAAACTGACATACGAGTAGGTCACCCGTCAGCCCATGGTACCCGCTATGCGTTGATACGTTGTTGCTCAGGACTAAGAAACTATGTCACAATATCATATAAATACTAAATAATAAAATAAAAAGTCCGAAAAAGTTCTTATATTGAGTTTATACAACTTGAAAAAAAGCAAAGAGCTCTCCAACAAATGGAACGGAATGAAAATAAGGATTTGGAACTTCGCAAAAAGTTACACGCGTTGTAGACTTGCGACTGAAATACGATAAAATTAAAAATAAATATCTAAATAAGAGATAATAATAAGTTTTAAAATATACAATTTCCAATAATAGATAATTCTAATAAAGAATAATAATAGGTGTTAGAGATATGTCATCTCTTTTTTTATGTAATTGGAATGGCACACAAGCGGCCCCGCCTGATGGTAAGTGGAAAGCCTCATACCTGAACATCCCGGATATCACGTTGTCACGTGACGCTATTAGTAACCTTATGATTTGCCTTTCCGGAAGAGTAAGACATTAGACACCTTACCATACAATTTCAATAACGTGATACCACTCATGCATTACCATTCCGCATAAAAAAGATGTTATGGTTCCACAATCAATAATTTTACTGAGTACTAATTAACCTTGAAATGAAAGACAGCTTATTATAGTCTTCCTCTGGTGGTGTTTGATTTTTTTTAATGAACACTTATAGCACAGATTAAATAATATTACATACCTGTAATAATATATAATATAACAGGTTAAAATTAATAGAAAAATCTTTCTACGTCGCGTGTGCGTCGCTGCTTTGCGACTTTGCTATCAATTGTTGATTTTGTCTCCCGTCTGCATCGACATCCTCATCCACGTGTTTATTAGGAACCCGAATAGAAATAGGTTTTTGGGTCACGGGACTTTCTTCCATATTTTCGTGACAACAGAATAAATGGAAATTAAACTCCTATTACAAAGACATTGAAATATTAGGAGCCGCAAAATCTGTGAAATACGAATGTAACAATACAATGTATGAATATGACAATATGAAAGAAATAACAATAATCTCTATATACTAAGATATATACAGATTATTACATCTATATGACTTACGGCCTCGGCGGTCTAGCGACCTTAATTCCGATTGTCGCGGGTTCGATTCCTCGTACGGCGCAAGCATTTGTATTCATGAGTATGATTCTTTGTATTAGTATGAGTGTTTTTATGTATAATATGAATGTAATGTATTTACGAAAAAAATCTATGTATTTATCAGTTATCTAGTACTCATAACACAAGCTTTAGGTAGCTTAACTTGGGACTAGATGGCGCTGTATGAATTGTCCTGAGATTATTATTATAGTTTATTATTAATAATCTACTATACTACAATCGTCTACGATAACTATTTACGTATAATACCTACATATAATACCTCTATGACTTTATAATTTTCTGATAGTTAATAAATTACCTATCAGAAAATACAAGTCAAAGAAATATGTGAGGAAAGTCAGGAAGGTATATTATATATCAGGTAGAGTACCTGTTTTTTGTGTACAACTGAAATCGAATTCGACCTGATAGTTTTGATAATTTTATTTGAATAAAGATCATTCCTATCTCTTCCACTTCTATAAAACATACAATTTATCCTTCTTTCTTTCGTTTTAATGACAACTAAATGTACTTTCCCCAGAGAGTAGCGCTGGACTTTTCCACATTTTGTCGCATTTTTTAATCTTCCTTTATGCACAATTTATCCTGAATTGATCCTATTAAAGAATTTGATAGTTATTGCGTGTGGTTTCGCTCTAATATCATTCGGATTGCATCAACCGTTCAGTGGTCTAATGATTTTGCCGAAGCGGCCTACATCAGTTGCCAGTTAAATGTAATGGGAACATTTGGTTTTATGTTGTTCAACCTCGAAATGATACAGTGATCGACAGGAGGTACTTTTACCTTTTATGTACTATAATATTGATAATGGCAGACGCATTTTTAGTATGTTTTCTTTTAGTCTGTAAATCGACCAAAATAAAGAAATTTCAAATGAATTTAAAATACTTATATCCGACTATTATCTATCTATACGAACCGACTTCAAAAGATTGGGACTTTAAATCGGTTTAATTTGAATATAAATTGAACCATACATTTTATTACAACAAAAATGTAAAAAAGTATGTCAATTTATATTTCTGTGGTCATGATAATGCTGATAATATACCATATTAATCTGAGAGACTACGTTACACTCGTCTCCTGTTATATTGTATTAAAATGCTGATCGAAACTGATAAATGCTATATTTGTTAGTTTACAATGCCTCTGACTACTCCGTCTGAGATATAAACCGCTGTAGTGTATATTCATTTAAACATTTATAGCTCATATATAGTAATAGCTACTCGCCCTGGTTTCACACATGTATTATACACATAAACCTTCCTCTTAAATCACTCTATCTATTAAAAAAACCGCTTCAAAATCCATTGCGTAGTTTTAAAGATTTAAGCATACATAGGGACGGACAGACATCGACAGCGACGTTGTTTTATACTATGTAATGATGATAAGACTCAACTCTTCATATCTATTATATTTTGTTTACAAATACATAGTTTAATTATATCTCTTTCCCGTCATATCTATATCCTACTTATTAAAATATTTAATAATAGCAATTCTTTCCTAACTTGTAGATGACAGAATAAAACTTCCATTTTATGGTACGCAGAGTTCTCTTACCTTTCTTCTGTTCTGAAATTTTAGGCACCTAATCATATGTGCTCAAAAAATAGGTATATTAAAAATATTACCACCCTAAAGTATATTTAACTATATATAAATAAAGGCAACCATGACTCGTAATAAGCTAAAGTTTTTAAAAATTCGCTCCATAGCTGAGTATGGCAACCCATCAGAAACGCTTCCGGATGTGACCACCAACCTCGCCTCATTTGAGAATCCTTGACCCATTTAAAAATACCTGAACAAATTCCGGATTATTCTAAGGGTCACTGCAAGTAAAATTTGGGCAAACGAGGACACCGCAACGACGTACCAAATACCTGATAATTTCACAACCCTGTAAACTGTCAACCGAGTTATATATTTTTTTTATAGCATAGGGAGCAAATGCACAGCTGCTAATGGTAAGTGATTATCGCCCATAAGCACCTTTATTTTATTTTATAGTAGCTGCACCCGCGACTTCGTTCGCGTGGAATTTAACTTTATTTTTCTGAAATAAAAGTAGCCTAAGTTACTTCTTATTACATTAGTTACCTGCCAAAAAAAGTCCCGTCAAAATCGGTCCAGCCCTTTCAGAGATTAGCCGGAACAAACAGACTGACAGACAAAAATTGTAAAAAATGGTATTTTGGTGTATGTACCGTATTTATATATGAATATAATATATATAATGCACATGAGTGCATGTAGTAAAAAATGGTTATTTCAATATTACAAACAGACATTCCAATTTTATTTATATGTATAGATAATTGAAATGGCAAATAATCTGACGGCTCACATGATGGTAAATGGTAATCGTCGCCTATAGGATATGCTATAAAATAGCTAATTTATTTCCTACTATTTGTAGATAATCCACAAAAGAATGTTTGTGATAACGGAAGACATATTTGGGACGTAATAACTCCTATTAATATAGTTTACTAGCCGACCTGCACAACTTCGTTTCCATCACACGTACTTTAAATTTATCATTATATTTCGCTCAATTTACGTAATATATTTTTAAATTATCGCCTATGTATTATTATGATGTAACAGCTACATTATGTAAAGTTTTATCAATATCCGTTTCGTAGTTTTTTTTGAAATAGTATAACATTCATCCATCTATCCATCCATACTCAATACTTTCGCCTTTATAACGTTAATAAGATATAAATGTTATATTTTTAAATTATACCTTGTTACATATAAGATTTAAACTGTCACTACAATGTATATTTTCATTATTAAAACCTATTTATTAATTATAATAATTAACAGAAGTTTATTTAACAATATAATAATTACTACAGATATTTTAATAAGTTTTTCAATTATATGTTGCAATAGTAGTATTTTATGGTTTTTGAAGAGTATAGAATGTCTTGAAAATTATGTAATATATTAATCACAAACTTAACTGTAGGTATGTTTAGTTATTCATAAATAGAATAACCTTTCCTACATTATGGGTCTGTGGTTTAGTTAAAACTAATTGTATTGTTGACTAATCTTGTTGATAACTACAATGGTAGATGTATCTGTTGTGAGGCGTTGGCGTTATCACTTACCGTATCGTTGATTACTACTGCTGATGATGATGATTCTACTGCTACAGCTAAAACACACTACAAAGAGTAACGCGAATGACATGACATAAAAATCTTTTGGCACTGATTTTTACTATTTAATTTATATCATTAAATTTTGTAGTCATTTCATAAAAATTAGGATTAATTTCATTAAATTATGAAATAGTCTTATAAAATTATGAATTAATTTCATAGAGCTATGTTGTCATATATCAACAAGTTGTATGTTTCATACATTCCACTATTTAATGTATAACAACACAAAAATAATAAAATAAATTTACTTATTATTTTTGTATATATCAATTATTAAAAGATATGACATATTTTTTCTAAAAATCAATGCCGACCAACACAACCAACAAAAACAAAGTCAATGTGAATGAAGCAGGCGTGATCAAACCTCTGAATGTATTGTCATTACCTGACTTACACTCCTAAAGCTACTGGTGCTAGCGCTCCGAGCCTGCAAGAAGAAACATTCGTTCCTATACACTAGCACACACAGCTTTTGTAGAGACCAAGAAGATTGACATGCCCGTAGCACAGTACACGACAGAGACACCAAATAAGCGAGACCGTAGTGAGAGAGTGAGAGAGAATTTTCTCGCTCAATCTCGTATCGTTTAGACCTTGTACTATCTTTGTTATGCCTTCGATGGGTCTCCCTTATAAGAGCTACATAAACAATAACACGACCTCATAAGAAATTAATAAAACGGCAGACGCACGCAGAAAACGGTTGGCAGCACATACTTTTATTGTCCAATACACGTTTGAGAAGTGTTTATTTTTTACGAGTTTATTCGTCTGTGTGCGTACACCGATTAGGGAATTCAGAATGAAGTCGTGTTATCGAGTGACATGTGTATTGTGCTCACAAATAGATAATTCGGTGTAAAACGGTATTTCAGCAGATTGGTATCAAAGATATTTTTTTTAATTACAATTTGAGATTTTTGCAGAACCTTTTTAACTAAGCTATGTGTACGTTTTTTTTTTTAATCTCGTATATGTTTTGTATAATTCATGATAATAATTGTATGTCAATAAATCAATATGTTATAATATTTACGATGATTTATATTCAACAAAATGACATTCATACAATGTTTTATGAAGTACATTAATTATTTTAAATACATAATTTAAGATCTCGGCCATATAAATTGATGACTTTATTTGTATAAAATATGAATTGCATTTGTTATATTGAAAAAAACTTCTGTTTTTTTTTACTAAAATTAATACCAGAAATAACCGTTTTTTCACCAAAATAGCGTTTCGTTTGTGCAATTTCGTGCCAGCAGTTCGGAAGAGAAGAGACAGTTCGTGCAGCATATCTAATCTTGTTGGTCCAGTACACAGAAAACAGTTATTTATATGTATGTATGCACATTAATATTTGGAGCTAAAGTTGAAATATATTTCACCAAAAAAAAGTGTTTTAAAAGACATAAATTAATATTTGATGTTTTATAATATTAATATTTAAATGTATCTTTTATTTATTACAAAAATATGACTATTATATTAGCTCTTTTTTGCCATTATTCATAAGTACAACAGCCATCGAATTTATGCTACTAAAAATTAATAGTTCTATTAATTCATAGATATTTTGTTGAAAACTTATAATTATGTTCAAATGTAGCTCCAAAACACATATATTCATAAATGCAAGCGTAATACCTATTCTTTGTGTTAATAGAAAATTGAAAATAGTGATTTCATGTTTATAATAATCGGCATAGAGAAGCTAGACAGAGATTTGCAACCAACACTCTAAGTAACTCCTTACAGAAGATAAGTAAAATATAACACGAATTTACACTTATCATTACAAGAATAAGTCTAACATGTGTTTAGAATTCAACAATGTCAAATGATAGATCATTATTCAAACAATAATTTCATTTGACAGCACAATTATAAAAGTTATTTATTATTATATTACAGACTTGTACTTGTAAATAACAAATAAATTACGGGTTAAGAGCCAGCTCGCAGGAATAACATTTGTCAAACTGTCAATTTTATAACCCTAATCTTGTCTATATGTGATATGATAACTAAGTTATATGCATACTAATCAGACTAGACAAGAATCTTATTGTGACAGTGACAAATATCATTCGAGCGTTCTAGCTTTAAAAATTGTTGCTCTTTTAATATAAAGAGCACTCGTTGAACATTTAAAGCCAAGACATTCAGCAACACCAAGTTATTTACATCAATATAAGTTTTGTTGTAGGTAAGTAGACAGTTAGCTGATGTCGGTGTGCAAATGTAGCGTTAAAGGTTAGTTCAGTAGTTGTGATAATCATGTCATTATGCTCGGCGACAGCTGAAAATGTACATAGAAGTAGGTCACGAGGAAAAATCTTTCAAATATATTCTCGCTGATTTAAATTTTCGGTCGCCGTAAAAACACTAGGTCACGCGTATTTATATATTATTAGCATAAGAAATCAATAAACTTTTTAATAAAAAATAATTTATTTATTGTTAAGTATAAATATATTATTATAATAAATAACTATAATACTTGAAACATTGAATAGAAATACTTCAATTCTATGTCATACAAAACTTAAATGTTAACATTATTAAGAATAATCTACTTAAACTTAAATTAAGTTTTATTTTTAGCGATAGTATTAATAGAATTTGTAACGTTAAGATATTTTGAAATTCAATTATGTAAATTTTATGCCACCAAAATTGAATTTTAGAATTGTAATTTAAATAATTTTACGCGTAATTAATCTTAAATTGGTTTACTAATTAAATCAATCAGGATTGTAGCTAAATAAAGACTGCCGCGATTCCTGTTTTCTATATAATACATCACAGAATTTAAAAAGATATCATATCATAATTTATTTAGAAGATGTGATATGAAATTTTCACGATGTCAATCCATTTTTATCCTCTTTAAACTGGTTTAAGTCTCCAATCTTCATAAAATATTCTTACATTTTTCATCCAAATAGTCTTTAGACTACATACTTTTTATAGATATAATATAGACCACGACTTAATAATGTAAGTGCTTGATAGTTAAGAAATAAATGCTAATAAAATAGTTTTTCGTTGAATAGCTAAACATCTACTAAACCTAGTCTGTCTTACTTCATCAGTCTTTGTTGTTGTCTGCAAAAAATATCAATAACAAAAAAAAATCTAATAGTGTAAATGTATGTACATTGCAAGATTAATTTCTGAAAAATATCATTAGTATAACTATACCACAGTTTACTTAACAAAATATTATAATAAATGGACTGATATAGGAATTTATATTAAAATATTTCATAATAATAATGCCGACAAACACCTATCTGTTTTCATAATATATATTGATTAAGTAATTATTAATATAAGAATTATTTAATCATTATATATGAGTAGAAACATACAAGAGACATTGTCTTCGAATAATTTCTGTGCAAGTCTAAATTCGTATTAATAACTATGTTCAATAATTTACATATATATTAAGGCATCTTGAGGATAGGTAACGCACACGTGACACCCCTGGCGTTTCAGCCGTCTATAGACTACGGTAACCGTTTACCATCAAATGGGCCGTGTTCTTATTTGCCATTCAAAAATCGAATAATTATTTTACATATCCTCATTGCATTCCAAGAGCTTCTGAAATAATTTTTGTTATTTTCTAAGTGTATTACTATATGAATTATATAGATATATAGACAGGAAATAGGTATTGTACCTACATGTATATACCTGTTGATAACTGCAAGTCTATACCTATATTACAGACTAAGTGTGTTTATAACTCACTTGAAGATTAGGAATTATTTAAAAACATACATGAGATATAGCCCCATATTATCTTCCAAGAAATTCTGAATTCATTTACTATATTCTGAATTTATTAATCTGTATTAGGAAAAATACACAGTATATATGTGCCACGTTGTCTTCTAAGAATTTCTGGATAAATCTATGTGATTAACTAAGCGTGATCATAACTTACGTAACGATTGCGTATTATTTTGCGTTGCGAAGTTGAAAGATTCGAAAGAAAAGAAAGAGAACAAACAGCGGAAGTGAATTAATTTTATACTATGTAAAGATTATACTAGGAATATATAATTATAATAATATATATTAAAGCCACTAACAATACTTCTAGGCGTATTATTTTCGTTCAAGATTATCAATGAGAGCATTGTGAGTCGACCGGAAGCCACCAACGTTTCAATGGAAGCTGTATCGATTGGCTCCTTTGTACGGCCGGTCGGTGCCTTTACAAATTCTTATTGAACTGTTAGCAGTATTTAACGTTTATTTTGTTGTTCAATTTTAGATATAAATTCCTTTTTATTATTCCATTATTGTTTCTGTAGAATTGTTCTACTACGTTCTTTGTAGCAGCACATTTTTAATGGCTATTAATATAAGAGAATGGTGGTCACTTTCTTTAAATGGATGTTGATGGAATGTTGTTACCGCCTGCCAGTTTATGCTGGCAGACGGCACCAGTGGAGGATGACAAGATGAGCAGGAGATCTGGTCAGTTAGCCCATGGTGGCAAATTACAAGGAATTTATCTTGATAGTTTCCAGAGGGTACCATGTGGTCAACTTGACATGGTACTTTGCTAGCAATGGGGTCAACAGGCCACATTACTAACAACTTTCCCCTTGGTGGTCGTATTTGCTTTTGGAACCAGTATAGGATAATCGTATGAGTATGAAGTCAGGTCAGTTGCTCAGGAATTCCCCACACTGGTTTTTGTGATCACGTACAAGGATGGTTTTTTAAAATTTGCTACTTTGCCAGCAAATGATAACTAATTCCTTTAATTAACAATCCCCCACCCCTAACAATGAATATTAACGGGTTTATCTCTGTCTATCTTAAATACTGGCGAATTCGTTAGAATACGTGCGAGACAGATGAATTGATTATATCTCGACTAAATTGTAGTACGTACTAGGAATTAGTTATCATCACTAAAAATCCTAACTCATTCAAACAATGTAGCTTACAACATAGAAATGAATAATGCCTATATTTATGTTATAGGAATAGCAAAGATGCTGACGGTCTACCTGATGGCAAGTGGCAACCGTCGCCACACAAACTGTACTGTCACGTCACCATGTGACGCTTGAGACTTCTTATTACGTTGCCATTCCTATATACTAAGAAGTCACTCTTCTAAAGCCTGTAATTTCACTACCATTTCTCAACTTTCAATTGAAACCATTTGCAAAGCAAGCTGCTTAGCAGCCAAAATAGGGCGGCAGAAGTAGTCACATCGACGACTATATACAAAGTCAAACTCATCAAAGCCTATTTTACATACGCCATATTACATTACAGTTTCCCTAAATATATTTATTCATTCAGTAATATATCCTAAATAGTAGGTAGGTATATGAGGCAACACAGGATGTGACAACCCCGTAGTGACGGAATGACCCCTTA